TTTAACAGCAAACAGTTGATAGTTTGAAGTGAGGAATGTAAAAGCCATAGAGCATTCTGAGGAGAGGCTGTTTTTGTGTCATAGAAATCATGCTGTCTCTAATGAAAAGCATGCTGTGCCTCCACATGGCGCTTTTTCAGGATGCTCAAAGCAACCCTGTCCTGCAGGATCCCCAGGGACCAGAGCAGGAGCCAGGTCCTGGCTGTAGCAAGGGCTGGGTGGGAGCTCTGCGGCTGTGAGCAGGGCTGTGAACCCTGCTGGACTGGCTGCTGTGGACACTTGATGGGAGAAGTGTTTGGATTTCAGCTCTGGAAAATGCCAGAACTTCCTTCACGTGCCTCTGCACTGGCAGGTGTTTCTGCAGTTGTCTGACCTGAGTGTCCTGCTGCCACCCTTGCCCTGTGTCTCACACCTGCAGTTAATGGGCTTAGACTGACATGGAACTGCAGCTTTGGGAAAAAGCTTATAGTTTTCTTGTGTTTTTTAAAGTTTACTTATCAATGAGCACCAAGAAACCATTGTCTGAAACAAACTTTTCAAAACAGTGATGGCAGTTTGAGCTTCAAATTATATATGTGTATATATATATATATCTAAAAGTTCAGATGTCTTCCTCATCTCCTTTTGTATCTTCAGTTACAAACCTGATGAAATTGACTGTTTGCTTACAGTGATTTTTTTGGTTTCAATTTCTGAATTAATTTGCTTTTTTTGCAAAACCTCAGCCCCTGGCATTTGTGAGGGAAATGTCTGATATGATCTCCATGCCTCTGGCATGTGTTTCCTCCCTTCCTGTTTGGGAGCAGTGCTGAGGCATCTCCCAGCAGGTGATTAAGGATTGGTGCCCTCTGCTGCTAATGATTTACCAGCCGGGGTGACCCTCGGGCTTTATTTAGCATGAGGAATTGTCTGCCTTATTTCTGGAGCGTTGCTCATTTGTGGATGGTCATTCTCCTGGGGGAAAAGGTGGAGAAATTGGGCAGAGCTGGCAGCTTCCCTCTGGGAGGTGGTGCCATCCTGCCCTGGCTCAGTGATGCCAACAGTTCTCCATCTGCATTTTGGCAGCCCCATGCTTCCCTCCGTGCTCAGGCTCTAGGTTAAGCTTTAATTTAAAATGCTGAATAATGCACATTCAAGGAGTTTGTGAAGCAAGCAGCTGCAAGGCAAACAAAATTTTTTCCATATGGTGTCATATAGCCCAAATGTAAATGTACAACAATAGTAACAAAACCATTGGTATTGCTCAATTCAAGTGTTTTTGAGAAAGCAGATGGATTACAACAGTCATTTCAAGGTTTTTCTGAAAGCATGGTGAATGCTTCTTGAAGTGTGAAAAATATTATGCTAAAGCAAACATTAGTAATAAAATTAGTAAAAATATAATTCACAAAATGTCATGTATACTTCATCATGGCTAAAGATCTTGAAAGGCCTAAATGAGTGTGTAGTCCTGGTTTCTGCACATCAGCTTTTATAGCTTGGGTATCTTTTCACCATTTCCTAGGTGCCTTTTTAGATTTAATTGCAAAACTGAATATGTTAACAGATGGTTAAATTGTCTAATGGGAACATTATTCATTCTCTGAACTGAAGAACAGAGGTTGTAGGAGTGAGTTCTATTTTGTGACTAAGACCTCGATTCAAGATGCAGACAACTTTTTGTACATCAAAATTAACCAGTTTGGGGTTTGTCCCTTTAAACTCCCTGGGTTCAGGTGCTCATGTGGGAAGTTATTCCTTTCCTGCTTGTATACAAATGAAAAAGCTCTTGTCCTTGAGCGGAGTTTTACTGTGGCTTTTGCAGGTGTTGAAGTCGAGGTAAGTTTTAGAAAACATCAACATCAGCTCAGTTAATAAAACAAAAAAAAACCCAAACAAATAACAAAACAGACCCCATAAAACATGAAAGTTGAGAGAAGGCCAAGTTTCTGCTTATTGCCCCTAGAAAATGAGATTTGTGGGAGCTGCCCCCTGATCTTGCAGCCTGGCTGCAGAAATGGGTGTTCCAGCACACCACGGCTTGCCTGGGCAGAGGAGTGAAAATTGCAGTTAAATTCAGAAGTTACACAGCTGATCATTGTTCATTCTGCATGTGGTGATCTGGGAGTTACTGCTGATTTGATTTTTGTGGTGAGAGTGAAATTCCTGAGCATAACAATTAAGAACATGGCAAAGTAATACTTAAATATAATCAACCTGTGTAAACACACCTCAGTGTACAGCTCATGGGCAGCTAAAGGGATTTGGAAGGTTTTATTAAAACACAAGTTAGAAAAAGGTATAAGAAACTAGACTTGCTGTGAGTTTTTGTATTAAAAGTTGATGCAATCACCTCAAGCAATTGAATTCCATGAATATGACATTGTTGCTACTGTAGCCTGCATTGTTTGCATGAGGAAGCAGTCATTTCTGCATCAGGAAATGTAGTGATCCACAAATATCTTTCTACTGTTTTCATATGCAAGATTTCAATTACTCTGAATATTGACTTGACTGAGACCTTTTGAGATAAAGGAATTGTCTGGTGCAGGTGCATTAGTATATGCTATTATTTTTTGTGTGCTTTGTCATGATTTGTCTGTACTTCTGAAAGTAGCCAGATACACAAACTAAGGCTGTGAAGAGAATAGGAAATGATATTAAGTGTTGATGGACGGGGAAGGTTGTGTTTTAAAGGGAGAAGCTTTTTGAGATCTTCTAAGTACAGGACTAAGTCAGTCAGTAGGAAATAGTTCTTTGGTATAGCCGCTGAAGAAATTCTGTGGTTTGTGTTGATATTATAACTAGGAGAGAGGGATGATCTACAGCTGTCTTAAAGTGTATATGTATTTATAGGTATAAATGGTAATTTGATATCCCTTATCTGCGAGTGTTTCCTCGGATTTTTGTGAAGCCTTTTCCCTTGGGCTGCTCCTGCAAACAGGGACTCAGTGTCTTTAACAAGCTAGGCAGGTATAGATTTTTCTGTCTTGTGTTGCTCTGGCTGTCTCATAGATGGCAGAAAGAATAATGCTAGAGGACTACAGAATCTACAATATTTTAAATTTCCTCCTAGGGAGGTAAACTACTTTTGGGTTATGTTCTGAAATCAGCCTGGAAGTGCGATTTCTTTGTTAGTACAAGAGATTGTCAAAATTGTGTGAGGATCTGTGGGTACAGAACTGCCTTGACTTTGCCTCCAGCTATTTGCAGTGTCTCTCCTACCTGTTAAATGTGCTGCTTATCTCGAGTGGCTGCTGGCAGCAGTGGAGCTTGTGCACCAGAAGGATATCTGGGAAGAGTGCTTGCGGGGTCTGAAAAAATGCAGTGTGCTATCTTGTTTTAGTATTCTGTACTTTGCCCAGAGGAGTTTGAGTGACAAATGCAATATAAGTGTAGAGATGGGGTAGATGATCCTGTTCCAGCTTCTGGCAGAGATTGACAGGACTTAAATGAGAAGGGGAAAAAAAGTTCTCATACAAGTAGCTCCTAAAATACATATGGAGTTTCAGAACTTCTTGCTTGCCTATCTGTCTCTTTAGTAAAGTAGGCTTTACTTCATTTTTCTCTGTAATCTCAATTAAAAGGTTCATTTACCAGAGTGGTAAGTGGACATCTTAGTTTTGCTTTCAAGATGATAAACTCTATACTAAGTCCAGGTGAGGAGAATACAGGAGAGGTGTAAGGAAGGCCTTGAGATGTGGCACTTTGGAAGATGAAAGGCTGGTGTCAGCCCCTGGATGTGCAGATGTCTGTGCTGGGTCAGGCTCAGGTGGAGCTGGTTCAGAGCAGCCCATCTGGTGCTGTGTCCTAGATTTGTGAGCAAAACAGCAGTGACAAAAAGAACCCCAGTGCTTCAGCTGTTGCTGAACAGCCCTTCCCAGTCTCCAGATTTCTGCTGCTTGTGAGCTCTCTCCAGGAGCAGGGTGGACAGAGCTGGGACAGCTCATCCACGGTGACCAAAGACATTCCAAAACTATCACATCATGCTGGGCACTAAAGGCAGGGCTGCAGGGTGGGGAGGGGCAGTTTTTCCAAATCTTCAGGTGCTCAGAAGCTGGGTAGGCATTGGCCTGCTGATGACAAGTGATGGCTTTATTTGTTTCTTTATTTTCTTTATTCTCATCAGTTATTACATTGTCTTTATATCTCAACCATCAAGTTTTTCTTCCTTTTGTACTTCTGATTGGCTACATGATCCTGCTGGGAGGGAATGATCAAGGGGCTGTTAGGGACTGACCTGTGAGCTGGGGTCAGTCCTCTCCACTGTCCCACAGATTGCTGAAAGCTTCTCAGATTCTGTCCCCCCATGAGTTCTAGACCTGAACTCCTATTCACGACTGCTTTGTGTCAATTGAGCAAAGTTCATGAACCAAATGCTTCCTTGATAATGACTGCTGATATTGGTGTGCAGCGTGGGTGGCTTTTTTGGCTGTGAATAAAAATGGAACGTTGGTGATTGTTGTCAGCGGGGTGTTCCTGCTTGGGAAGAAGTAACGGGGCCAAGGGAGGGAGGGTGGTTTGTGCACCATCATTTCAGGGATTCCAGCCAGTTCCTGTGCAGGCTGCCGTGATGTGACGCAGTGGCCAGAGCAGCTGGCAGGAGCTGCAGAATTTTGGGCACAGGAAGGTGGCCGGGCAGTGCTCAGCTCTGAGCTCAGAGCCCCGTGGCTCTGCTGACGCACTCCATACCAGGAGTTGGTGTTTGTTTGTTTTGGAAACCCTTTGGAGAGCCCTGCCTGCTCCTTTGTGCAGTACTGGGGGTGCTGCAGCTCTGCAGGCTTCAGGTGCATAAATTCCATACCCAGAGCATAGGCTGCAGTGGGATCCTGCTTGCTTTTTCACAGAAAAAATGGACATTCCATCTCCATTTGCCTGCAGTATTTTAGAACACTTAGTGACATTTCAAATGATTTTTAATGTTCAATTATATGAAATAGACTCCTTTATTCTAAAGCAGTAGGTAACACTGTCTTTTTTTTTCTTTGATTTGTGTGTGTTGTTTTTTGTTTTTTTAATAGAATATTCAAATAAAAACTTTGGCAGATGATGTGGTAAGGTCTTTGTAGCATCTTAATTTGCAATGGTAACTCTACGCTGCATGCTACTTTACTCATGTTGTGGACAAAATAACATTCTTACAAGGATATTAAGCATTAGATTTCAGAAAGTTTAATGACTGTTTCTAAAGATCTTAATTTGTGGCTTCAGTTGAAGAAGTTTAATCATGATTTCTATTCGGAGAAATTTCCTCAAGCATTTGAAATACTTCAGTAATACTGTGGCTATGTTGAAACTGTTACTCAACAGCTGAAGTGTTATTTCTCTTGACCTTCTCTTTACCAGTAAGTGATCTGCAGTGGCTCTTCAAAGTTGGTTGCCACATGATTCAAGTGGAACCGTTTTGGGTAATAAATGTCTACTGAATGCCAAGGAACAAGAGTGTATTCAGTGGCACTAACTTGATAAAGCTGAATACTTTAAACTGGTTCCAAAGTATTTTTTCAGAAACTTCTATCAAAATTAATTTCATTAAGATTACAGCCTTGTATTACATATATAAAATAAAGCCAGACTGGATCTTTAGTTAATGATTGTCTGCACATCTGAAATGAGGAAGTGGTGCCTGGTAATCTCATAGAAGATGCCTTTGTGTCTTTCCAGTGATCTCACCAGTGCAAAGTCATTGAACAAATGTGTTGTTAATAAGCTATACTTGAAAGAGATGATGGTGTGGTGAAATTGCATCTTAAATGACTTTTTGTGACTGTTGAATGGTCTATATAAAACTGCATTTGGCTAAATCTGGATACTGCCTTTCGGCATTTTTGTATCCTTGGTCTTTTCACCAGGTTATGCAGTAATTTTAATTTCCAAAAATGTAATTTAAACTCTTCTAATAAGGTAAAAAATGGATTAAAGTAATGTTCTTGCTTTGTAAAAGACATTAACAGTATCCTTGTAGGTATTGTGCTTCTGTCCACAAATATAGAAATATCTAAGGAACACGAAAACCCCCGTACCACCCGTTCCTCAAAAATAAAAAAGTTCAAAGGGACTGCAGCTTATCTAGGGACACTTTCCTTCAGAGATTTAAGGTAATCTTGTAGGATCTCAAAAATAACAACAAAAACAATGAACAACAAAAATGAATAAAAAGAAACAAAACATCAAAAAAATAATCTTTTCCATATTCCACAGCTCTTGCTCTAGTGTCTCCGCTCTGGACTCACTAATTTAAAATGAATCAAAATTTTTGCAAGCAAAGTCTGTCTCTATCAGACATTTCACACCTCAGCGAGGTCGTTTTGTTGTAGCCAATATGAATTTTGGTTTGCATGTTTTGGTGGAGATGGCAGTGACTGCTATGAGTGATCCTGGTCACCCTACATAAGCTGCTGTTAGATGAAAGCACATCTTCATAAGGCTGTTGAGTGCCTGAAACAAATACAGGAGTATTTGTGGATGCAAACAGTTTTTTGAGGAAAATTGCTATATGCATGATGTTCTCAAATTGAACATATATATATATATATAAAATAAAGACAGGTATTAAATCAAACAATTCAGACTTTATTCAGAATAGAGTTTTATGTTAGACATACAACAAAAATGGCCTTATAAGAAGGTGCTGGTTATTTCCAATATTAACCCAGTAACTGAGCATGCTTACAGCCCAGGAGTGGGGGTTGGTGCAGCCCTAACCCAGAGCGCCCTGGCACTGTCTGGCCGTGGGTTTAACCATGGGTGCCTGCTTCTGTGTGAGCAATCCTTCCCCTGCCTTTCTAAAGCTCAGCACTAATTCCAGGAGTTCCTCCTCACAAACTCTTCAAGGAGTTATGAGCTATGCTTGGAGCATTAATTCCGCTGCAAACTTTATTTTACTTTAGCAGGATTTTTTTCATAAGCCTGATGAACTTGTGAGTACCTCCTTCCCCATGCTGCCTTTTCCAAAGACTTACAGCTCTTCAGGTGAAGGAACATTGGACATTACCTTTGTGGTACCATATTTATTCACTATCAGGATAATTAGGAATGGGAGAAGATGAGCTCAAGATTTTGAAATGCTAAGAGTTTAACCTAGCTGGTGCAAGTTTGGATCAGTGAGAACTATTTAAATCCCTTCTGCATGTGACCTGTCATGAGTTTACCTTACACGTTATTGTCTTTCTGTGCAAAGTAATCTCTGAATATTAGAGTATTTTCACTTACAGTTCAGTTTAACTCTGCTGCTTGAATGAACTAAAAACGTGCACTGCTGTCATGCCATTGGCTGCTTTTCTCTCTATTTCTGCTTATTTTTGAATGTCTTTGCAGCGTGACAGAATCACAAGCTTCAGAAAAGCAGCTGTGAAGAAAGAGAAGCCTCTCATTCAGCATCCTATTGACTCTCAGCCTTCCATTAGTGAGATCCCACATGCCCAGGCACTTGTTGATGAGCGCTGCATGAACTTATCAGAGAAAGAAGTTATGGATCTCTTTGAAAAAATGATGGTAAGATGTGGGTATGGGGAGAACTTTCCTGTTCCACTGGGTAGCTCTGTGCTGTTCAGTGCAGCAGTGAATGTCTTTTGAAGGATTGGATAAGTGTTAATTAACTCTTGCTTGATTTGCTTGTTAGGGGATTAGTTTTTAACTTTTGCAGGTAATGGTAATTGAAGCAGACAATAGGTCTGTCTCACAGAGACTAGCAGTTCTGTGACAGGGCTGTTCACCAGTAGTGATTGCAGCAGCATTGACTGCTCTTAGGTGCCAGTCTGAAACTACTTTGATTTTTAATGGCAAGCCTAGTCATGACTAGTAATGACTGCATTGTATTTAATCAGTTAAGTTAATAGAAGTGTCTTAATAGATTTAATCTAGCAGAGCATTTTGACTTTTAGACTTGTTTTAAATACATCAGTTGGAACAGTTTATCCTCTACCCCTTCCACAAGCTACTAATCCATGTAATAACAGCCTTCTGATTAGATAGTGCAGGAATGGTGTCCACTGTGATAAGATTTCACTAAAAACACAGGAACAGCTCAAGAGTTGGCACTTATGCATCAACTTGAGGTTTAGAATTGTTGTGCTTGTCCTCTAGTCTTACTTCTTGAGCCAAATTTCACAAATGTATACTACCCTCGTTACAGTTTAAATTTTGGCTAAGTCTCAAAAACAATGAACACTTGAGGTGACAGAATTAAATGAGGAAATCAGGTATGGCAAAATCAAATACATGCAGATAAACTGGAAAAAGTCACTTCTGTTTGTTTGAAAATTGTTTAATGAAAGAACAAAGACTGCTGACAATCCTGAGATGTGCTCCTGATGTCCTGTGGTCTGGTTCTTTGCAGGAAGACATGAACCTGAACGAGGAACGTAAAGCTCCTTTACGAGACAAAGACTTGAGCACAAAACGTGAGATGGTTGTCCAGTACATTTCTGCAACTGCCAAATCCGTAAGTACTCACCTGAAGAGGGAGCTTAGCTTGGAAGCGTATGCTTTTCAAGCTTGAAACTTGATTTTTTTTGTCTAGATTTATCTAAGAGGGGTAGAAAAAAAATAAATATGTACATACCAATGCACTTCTGAATGCTTGCAGCTACATCTGAAGCATTAGTTTGCATTTTCCCTGCTGGGCAATGTAAAAACTTGGTCCTTTCTTGGAAGCCATAAGAAATTGCAAATCCAATGATGTAGAGTCATGGGTGGAACCTGAGCACATTTCTGTGCAATTCATCTTAAGAATTTTTGGTACCCAAAGTTTCTTGTATGTGCTATGTATGTGCTAGACTCTTTTAGTGAAAGGATGGTCTTAAAACCAGTTCCAAATTGCATTTTAATTAGAAAAAATGTTTTGACTTTTCATTGATGTTGATTATTCTCTGTAATTTAATTGATTGATTAACCCTTCATGCAGAATTTTTGAAGTCTGTCTTCTTTGGGGTGCAAGAAGTGTAAGGAAATGACTGGATACCCCAACATTTTTGGGGTGGAGAAATATAATTTCAAGCAGTGAAGAGCTGCAGTTTATTTTCTGCAGCTGAACAGTTCATACTAACTAGTTATAAAATATAACAGCAATGCTTTGTATGTGCTAAAAGTTTTGACTATGGCAAATATAGAAATAAGTAAGGATTATGTTGGTGTCTGCCTAAGGAATCTTTAAACATGGACTGCAAGCAGTACAGTTGACTTGTCCCTTGTTAACCTTGAAAATCAGCTCTGCAGGGTTCAATTTCAAAAATTAATATGACAATGACATGCAATTATTATGCAAATGCCTTGCATGAAACATTATAAACTTCAGTGAGGAGAAGTTTGTGTTATAATGGTGATGAAATGGTAATGAAAATGGTGATTTAAGTTCTGAGAGGAGTGATGTTCCTGCATGAGTTCATCTTAAACAAAATCCAGAGTCCTTGAGTGTGTGCTGGAAGGAATCCAGTTCTTTAAGCATGGTCCAACTAAATGTACAAATTACTGGAGAATTATTCAAGCTTATGCAGTGAATGTTATGAACTAGACTGTCTTTGGGAACTGTTAATTATGCTTTGTGAGGTTTTTATCTTCACTTGATGATCAATATTAAATCTGGAATTTTTCTTAGTATGCAAAAATACTTCAGTGAAGCAGCAGGAAGTGGAAATAGAAATGGAAGTATTTGCATTTTTTTCCAAGAACAATGGTGATGTCTCTTGTGTACGCTGCAATTGAAGCATAGCTGCCTCAAGCCCCAGAACTGTGCAGCTGAGGAAGGAAAGCATGGCTACCATTGCATGGCTCACTGCTGAAATTTTAATGCATTGCATTGCTCCCCATGTGTGCTGCAGCATGGGACACTTAACAGAACTGGGAAGACATTTGTCTAAATGTACTAATAATTTAAAACCAAGTCATCATAAAAGGTCCTTGTACGTGAACGTGCACTTTGGGCTTAAGTCAGCACCACTGTGGATGTTTTACACATTGCAGAGTGTTTTTCCTAGAGGAAAACCAACTCATATTAAGTTTGTGTGCTTCAGTACATCCTGCTTGCAATTGAATCACAGCATTTGAATGGAATCTTTCAGAAATCTACATTATCTTTCTGTAGTGTTATCCTAATTTAACTTCTGAATAGCTAGCATCTTGATTGTTAAGAAAAAAAAATTAAAATACAGAGGTTAATTTTAAAATGTTGATTGGGATCTTACACTGGTGCCAAACCTCATTTTCACTTTTAATTTCATCTTCTGTTTAGTGCAGCTACTGTTCTGCTCGATGAATTCAAGCCCTAGTCAATCTTTACTGCATTATGAATTGTCAAACTTTCCTTTCTTCATGATTGTCTTCCATGAAAATGCTGGTTGCATTCAAAATGATCTTTAGATTTTCTACCTTTTTCTTTTGTCACAGATAATTATATCTGTCTTCCTTTTTTACACTGAAAATACTTGGACCTTCTACTTAGAGCTCACAAAACACATTTAACAGTTGATGTGACTTTTCTTGCAGTTCATTTCATGTTTGTTTTAATTAGGCTTTTGAGCTCCCTCCCTTCATGTGAAAATATCACTCTCATTTGCTGCTGTTGTCTTAACCAAATAATTTGAAATTTGGTGCTTCATTTTCTTTGCCTGTGTGCTGTCTGCAGCATGTTGACCATGCTTTTCTGAAACACTTGTCTCAGAGCTCTGAGAAAGGAACTTTGGGTTGCACTGGGTGAAGAAAGTTTTCCTTGGGGGTGGAGGACGTGTAGAAGCTGATGAGCTGGATGCTTTCATGGCAAGTGATTTTCTGTGCTTCTCATTCCTTCTCTCACTTGAAGAGAAAGATTGTTGGCCATGGAAATTATACCTGAGAACTGGTGAAGGATTGAAATTCTGTTTCAGAACTGAACCCGGTGACATTTTGTGCTGTACTGAGTAGTTGAACACAGGTGAGAGGAGAAGATAGGAAATTAGGAGAAGAGATTGGTGATGGCAATCCCTTCTTGTGCTTCTAGAGGAAACTTCTTCAGGGGGAGAAGTGTTGATTGTGAAAGACTCGCAGGGACTTTTGTATCTGAAAGAATTCCTAAAGGAAAAATGGAAAAGAATAGAAGATGAAGCAGGTAGAGGCTGAGCAGAGACAGTCACAGATCTCAGAAGCAAAGCAGCTGGTGATCAGATAAAAGGGGTTATGCAAGGAGCTGGCTGCTGTCAGCCTGCAGCAGGTGAGCTGACAGGAGAGGCTGGAGCAGATGTCCGAGCTCCTGCTCTTCCCAGGGCACGGACATTTGTGCAGGGTGACAGAACAGGACACAGATGTGCTGCCTTCCTGCAGCTTCCTCTGGGGAAAGTCACCTTTTTGTTCATGAACACAGAGAGATGCTGTTCCATGGTAAAGAGAAGATGGCATTCTGAAAATCACTGTTTAATTATCCATGTAATTAAAAGCATCCATACCGAGCAGTTGAATAAAAATGTCATGTGAGATTTTCTGAAATGCAAGTTGGAGTTATAACTGTAGGCTATGTTTTTGATTACAAAAACTTAATTAAATTCAGTGGTGACATCATATAAACAGATCAAAAGCTCCATAATAAAAGCTGTTGTTATACATAGAAAGAAGTCAGCATGCCATTAGCGTGTTCTCAGTGTCATATGTAAAGTATCTGACCTGATAATTTTAACAAATGGCATATTTAATCTTTCAAGATGTAGCTGTCAAGACAGGTATTTAGTTATTTGTAGGTAAATGTGTCAAATACTGAAGATTCAGCAGCAAAACATAAGAATTTGAAATTGTTGCTCCTGCTGTAGAGCTGCTGTTTTCCTGTCAGAGAAGCTCTAACCCCTAAACAAGTTGATAAAGTAATGAAAGAATGTAACTACTACTAATAATTAAACACTGAAAAATGTGTGTGCAACTACATCCTACTAAGTACTGTGCTGTTTATTTATGTATTATTGTTATCTTTTTTACACAATAACCTCTCTTGGCTGACCACTGCATGCAGATAGTCGGAAGTAAAGTTCCGGTGAGTACGAACATGAGAGTTTTGTTTTCTCTTCTGAACTTCCCTTTCAAGAGATTAGGCTGGAATATTTTGGATTTTTTTTCTCAGTTTTAAATCAAAATGATTGTCAACCACCTCAGTCATGTTTATCTAACAGTATGAGATCATTGCTTACACTTTTGAGGGATTTCTTCAAGTTTTCAGGGGTCTATTTCCAAATTCATACTCACTGAGCTCAAATATAATTTAAGCTTGTCTTTTATTGAAGGCAGGCACTTGAAATTTGAAATTGACAATATTTGACTTACTTAATTCTGTTTAGATGTGGAATTTTTTATGTTCTAATTGTTATTATTCATAGCTTGTCTTAGAAATGCCAACTTCAGCAGATCAATGTGACAATAAGATTAATTTAGAGGATTCAAGAGGTCAATATGTTGAAGATGAGATCCCTTAGAGCATAACTTTTGTTAAGGACTCATCTACATTTTATGTTGTTTTGATTGAATTCAAATATTATAGACAAATATTTGGAATTTAATTTGTTGGAGTGAGTTCAGCAAGTTTGTGTTTCCTAGTAAATAAGATTTTTTGGGAGAAGAATTACATATGGATTTCAAATAGTGATTGAAAGCAAAAATGTTATTTTAAATTATGGATGGACTTTATTTTTTATTACAGCCAAAACAGGCTTTTCAGGTACAGCAAGGCTTTGTACCTAGGTCATATTCAGTAATTAAATTCTGTAGTAGAAATAATAGAGAACAATCTATGACTTAAAACTGTCCAATCATCACCTCAGATATAGCTAGGTTTTTCTCCTACACACTATATTCTTGTATATTTTTCTCTTGGCTTTGTTTTAATCAGAGTGGCCTTTAAAGAGACTTTTATTTTCACCAGTACTTTTTAGTTTTGTGCACACTATTGGTTCTTCCCCTAATTGAGGAAAATATCTTCATTGTGCTTATGTATTTAAAAGTATTCGATTTTTGAGGGCACAAATTATTAATTTTCCAGTTCAGTGTGTTAAAACCAGTTTCAAATAATCCCTGCTGCTGTGTAATTTCCTTTTGGTGTGAATTAGCCTGAACAGCTGCTTTATGAAGAGGTTATTTTATAAAGCAAGCTGATATTCCCACAATTGGTGGGGGGAAATTCTAAGGTGTTTTCTTCCCCATGCCTTTGGGTTCAGGGCCTGATAGAAAGCAAGAACAGCTCTGCATTGAAAGCATGTTTTTGTGCAAATAACTTGCTAAATACTAAAATTAAAAAAATGCTGTGCCTGGAGTATGGCTTGTGCATATTATTGCTTACCGAGCGCTTGCACCTCCGTGTGCTCCTTCCAGGATCCATCCTTTAGGAGCTGTTCCCTTGAAGATTTACAGATCCACTGTGATCAGGGAGGAGAGGCACTTTGGGATGTTCCTGGTAGTGCTGTTGAGTTCTAGACATGGCAGAGGAGATTTCCCTGCTCATGGGAACTCGGGAGCTTGAACTCACTAGAGTGTGCCATGGGATCCTCAGCACTGTGGCACTGCTGTGTGGTGCAGGCTCTCATGTGAGCTGGCACCAGTGAACCACTCTCTGCCTTAATTGTACCACTGAAGGTGTCCAGTCATGACAGAATTTCTAAGATTTTCATTCTTAAGCATTGATTTATTCTCTGAACATACTGATGTGGGGCCCAACCCTCTTCAGTTTCTTTCTACTTCACTTTTGCTTCCATCTTTATTAGGTCTTCTCCTGTAAAACATTTTTCACTGAGATCTTACACCTCAAAGTCAATGAGAAATGTTTGTATTAAAAGCTGATCCATATAAAGGCATAACAATTCTTGAAAATAGTATTCCAGTCAAACTCTCTTTGAATAGGGAAATAAAAGGTAGCACCTGGATCAGCATTAGAGGTGAGAGTGGATTGAGACTGAGACATGGATTGCAGGGAATAGCAGAAAGTAATCCTGGTAAGCTGAAAATTCTCTGAAAGATTTCAAGAATGAATTTTTATGAGCTGTCTTGAGTGACCATCCATTTTGAAGAGGGAGGAAAATAAGGAAGAGGACCTGGTTCCTTATTGCTGTGCAGTTAAAGGTGCTTTTTCAAAGAATGAGTGAAGAAATGTGCCTGTCCTGCAAGCCATGGGAAGGAGCCTTAGCAGAGCACCCTGCCAGTTCTTCTGCTGATCTATTTTTGAGGGAGTCACGAGTCTTCTGAAAATCAGGGACTAGGCAGAGCAGAGGTGCTTCACCAATGGCCTGGATAGTACAGAAAGAGGAGGCAGCAAGATCCCACCCTGGTTTAAATACAAAACAAATAGTAGCAAAAGCTTCAATCCAGAGTAGCAAAGACTCCATTCTGAACTGGAGTCTCCTGTGGAGCTTGCAGCAGACTGCAGTGGAAGGACAAATTCATCTCTTAGGAGAAACCACTGCCTTGCATCCTAGAGTGCATCCTAGTGTTCAGGGTCTAGCTTAACAGGCAGTGGCATTGACTGAAGCTGCCATTGTCTCATCTCTGTACACTTTGTGGATCTCAGCAGCATTTCTGTTCTCTTCTTTTTCCATTTGGGGAATGGCTGAAATGACAAAATTTGTGCCCATTTAGATCTATACTGTGTAGGTGATGTGCATTAGTTACACATAAAATCTTTTCTGATTCCCATCCATCCAACGGGTAGGATAAACCTGTTTCTTTTTCCTAGTTCTTTACCTTATGGTCCTTCAGAGGGATGATTTTGCTGAATTTTTATGATTTTTGATGTATTAATCTGATTTACCATCAGCTCCTCCTCCTATAAATATAACATTTATTCATTTTTCTTCCAGTGTAAGAGCATCTCTTTGTTTAGGCTGTTTGATGATGACTGATTCTAGTCCCTTTATATCCTTCTTACTCATCTTTGCCTTGCTCCTTTCATGTGATGCCCAGCTGAAGGTGCTTTTCATGTCAGCAAAGAACATCTCCAAAGCTGACACAGGGCAGAGGACCCTGTTGTCTCACTGCTGTCACAGTCTGTCCTGGTTTTGCTCTGAATCTGAAAGTATATTGTGAACTCAGCTCTGGTTTGTGCCTTCAATCTGGTTAGGTCAAAATCATTAACTTAAATTTAGCCAAGTCATTTTGTCATCAGCCATACTTAGTGTATTTTTGGAAAATGAATGGTAAGAATTTGAAGAGAGCAAGGCAGAAGCTTCATAAGAAGTGGAGCTGTGTGAAAGAGAGACAATCGGAATATTTGTGGTCGAAGTGATACAATTAAAACCAAATGCATGTAAATCCTCTTTTAGGACAGGCACTTGGTACAGCCTTTACACCCTGACATCTTTATCAGGTTCTCTTCAACAGGCCCTTCAGAGCTAAGGAGCTTTAGGAGCTGCAAATGAATCAAAACCACTCTTCTGAGATAAGCCTGCTGCAACTTGTCAGAGCTGTACAAAAGATTAGTTGCACCTTTTGGAAAAATGTTTTGTCTTGTTCAAGAGTTTGAATCCTATAGCTCTAAAAACTCATATTCAGGTATTTAATAGTGAAATACTGTGTAAGTAGTTATTCTTCTGTAGTGGCACTTCAGCAGGAGGGAACCCTGTCAGATCTCCTGTATAGTTTTTTTTGCAGCAAACAAGATCCTCTTGACATCTCTTATTAGGGGTCAAACATGAACTATGGTATAGCAAAAAATTGGCTCAGGAAGTTTCATCAACTGGGTTTTTTGTATGTCTCTCTTTATGATTATTTCCAATACAGTGTTGTGATGTACAATACACTTATTAATTATGTTAATGCAGCTGAATGTTGGAATTAAATTTTAATATTCTATTTGTAGTACATGGACTTTTACTCGAAGAAGTGAAAAAGATTCCAGCAAAAATAGTTATCCTTGTAATTTAAAACCAAAACTATTAAACACTGATGACAAATCCAAGTCAAGTTAGCTGTCTTGAATGTACTATGATTTGGAAATTCATGTGGAAATACTAGTCTTCTCTTTTATCATCTAAGCACTGTTAATCACTGAACACTCAGCAGCATTCTGCCTTCTGTGATAGGGGGGACTAAAAAACAGCAAGCACGAATGTACCCTGTCCTCACAAGAATATATCCATGAACTGCGCTCTGGAATTTCAGATGAAAAACTTCTTAATTGCCTGGAGTCCTTGAGAGTGTCTCTAACCAGCAACCCAGTCAGGTGAGCAGAGCAATTTCTGCAGTGGTTTTCATCATGCTGTTTTTGCTAAGCAGGAGAGTTGTGGGCTTTGGGTTTTTTTTGAAACCAGGGTAATTATGCTAATGCTTGTTGACAGGAGAGCAGTGTTCTCAGCACCCTGGATCAGGATAAGTGAAATGTTTGCAGCTCTCTGCACTATCTCCTCACCTTTCACTGTGGCTTTCAGCAATTTGTACTTGTTGGAACTGTTTGCCTTCGTGGCTGGTCAGATCTTTTGGGAAGTGAGACCAAAAGTGGAGCCTGTGAAGGGATGCACAAGCAGTAATGGAGAAATAGCTTTGCAAGTTCTGCATTTGATTGAGAAATAATTAAAAACATTTTTCTTCGGGTTTTTTTTCCAGCTGGGTTAACAATTTTGGACATGAAGGACTTGGGCTTCTGTTGGATGCATTGGAAAAGCTTCTGGACAAGAAACAGTAAGGACCTGGATCATTTGAAGGGAGGGATGGGGAGGTTGTGAAGCTTTTCCTTATGTGATTTTCCTCTTTCCTTTCAAGGCAGGAAAGTATTGATAAGAAGAATCAACATAAACTTATCCAGTGCCTCAAAGCATTTATGAACAATAAAGTAAGTATTATTTTAAATTCACAGACTTCTGTCATGTCTGGGTTTGAGTTCAGCATGTATATAACATGGTAAATGTTGGAGAGGGAAGGAAAGCTCATATGTCCAGTGTTTAACTCTTTGGAAATGCAGGTCTTAAACTTAGTGTAATTTCTGTTGAGAGTCTCCTTCATGAACCTTTCTGCATTTTTCTTAGTTTTGTTAAATATTACTGATTTTTGGAAGTAAAGTGTTTGATAAAGAGAGGATGATAGTATAAATTTACGGTGAATTTGGAAATGAATTACTTGGAATTTGAAAAAATAGCTTTCCAAATTCAGATTTCAGTTCAGGATTGCACATATATATGTACTTTTCACCTGATTTAAATTGAGTAGCATTTGGTATCTTTTTAGCTGCAGCTGTTAAGTTAGTAGGTCATGGGTAAAGGGTTAGGTTAAGTTGTATCTAACTGAAAACTGTTAGAAAACTGTTTCTTACAGTTTTCTCAGGCTTACAGAGTACAAGGACCTTCTAGAAGCTGTTATGTGATACTTGTAATGTTGCTTTATTCATAGCAAAATCTGAAATCTTATCTATCCTCCTCAGCAAATAAAACTGCATATAATTGTGATTAACTTCTGCACAGTTTAGAAAAATCTCACAGAAGAGCTTGTCCAATGAAGTGGAAGAAAAGCAGATTTTTCATATATAGACAGAAAATAAAACCTGGCTTGTCTTTTGGTGGGTACTGATTTTGCAAGGTCCTGGTCTCCTCCTGAGGAGCTGAATCTCTGTCTATCAGGAGAAAGCCTCCAATGCAAGACTGGGGCCCTGAGCTGTTTCCCCAGGCAGTGATGGCCAGGGGGTTTGGTGGGGTTTTGGTGGGGTTTTGGTGGGGTTTTGGTGGGGTGAGTGCTGCCAAACCCCTCTGGGCTGGAGGGGTTGGGAGAACCCCCAGGATCTTATGTTGGTGATGAGTTCCCAAGGCAAGCACAGGCTTTTCACCATGAGCTTTTTTTTTTCTCCCAGTACGGTTTGCAAAGGATTCTAGGAGATGAAAGGAGCCTCTTGCTGTTGTCAAGAGCAATTGATCCAAAGCAACCACACATGATGACTGAGACAGTGAAAATCCTTTCTGCTATCTGCATTGTTGGAGAGGAAAACATGTGAGTGAGATACTGAAGCTTTTATTTGTGCTTGTGACTTGTTAATTTGCACACAGGTGAGAAAAGTTGTCAGTGAAACAAATGTAAACTGTTAAGTCGTTAATAATGTGGTTTAAAATTAAAGATACTTCACCTGTTGTGTTGCCTTAATTCAGTATTAAATCAGAGAAAAGCAAATGAGCAGAGATCTACACACTGTGGCTGAAGTGGAAGGTGTGAAAGGACAAATCACCTCTCTACCACAGGAACCAGGAGTTTACACTTACAGCTGGGCTTTGGAACAGTTCAACTCAGAGTTATTTAGCACTTGCCCATGAGATTTTTAAAACGAAGATGATCACTTGGCATGTATTTCCTGTAAATTCACCACTGTGTTTATGTAGTGAAAGTTAAAATGGGCAAACTTCATGTCTTCTCTGCAATAAATAGATTAAAACATTCTGATTTCTGAAAGGACAATTTATTAGAATTCCCAGATGTTAAACTTGCCAACTGTTATCAAGTGCACAGTCTTGTAAAGGGAGGGATTTTTAGCCCTCATTGGTTGTTCCATTGCTGAAATAATATAGAGATTTAGTCACCCCTTTTTTCTTATTTCAACATTAATCTTGTAGACATTTATAACACTTGGTTCTTGGATTGTTTTCAACTCTCTGTAGATAAATGCATTTAAACTCTGTCAGTGCACTAAGCCTTGAGTTGTGTGAGTATGTTTAAAATGAGCAAGTTGGCTGTGCTGTGCTCTCTTGACAGTTTGTCTTTCTCTTAGCCTGGACAAGCTTTTAGGTGCTATAACCACAGCTGCTGAGAGGCACAGCAGGGAGGAACGTTTCTCCCAGATTGTGGAAGGCCTGGAGAACCACGAGTTCATCCAGCTGCAGGTGAGTTTGTCTGTGTGTGCTTCAGCTGAAGGGCTGAAACACTCTGTATGGCTTGGTGACCTTTAAGTCACACACATCTTTTAGTGCTGTCAATCCAATGGTCAGTAAAAGAGGAAAATAAAAAGTAAGAGAGGAGAAATAAATACCAGTGGCCTAGTGGTAGTAGATTTTCTACTTGTTAGTGGTGGGAGGCCAAGGAACTCACTTCTTGTCCCAAAAATAAGATTAAGAAATCTCCTAATAAAGAGAGCAGTTAGTGATATTTCTTTCCTTGGATGCCAGGTGTAATGTTCAGGTAATACATCTGGTCCTAGTGCTGGTACTTTAGGCAGCAGTACCTGTGGCCTCTTAAATATTCAGATATATGCTAATTATGGCAGGTGTAGCATGGGGTGTGCCCATTTTTGGCAGGGTTCCTTTTGGGATTAGTGAAGTGCAGCAGGATATTATTGGTAATTTTGTCACACTGTGTGTGTTCAACATGTGCCTTTCACCAGCCACTAGTGCCTCTCTGAGAGTAACCAAGTGAGCTTTCAAAATTATTTCTATAAAATTATAAAATAATCTGTGCCAGTGGTTTTTACTGTCATGACTTAGATCATGTTCATTGCTGCTTGTGTGTCCATGGATTGAAGTTTTTATGCTCTGTGGGCACCAGAGTTTTGGTTGGTCTTAAGATACAAGCTTTTTTTAGTTGGGTTTTTTTTGGTACTGCCATTTTTGCATAGAGATTAAGTGGCTGAATATGCTAATAAAGGATGACTTTGACTTATGACCTTCTCATTATACAGTAGTTGTGCACATTTTATACTAAAATTTATTTTTCAGCTACCTTGGCTGAAAGATATAGAAAAATACAGGCAGGGCAGGTATCCCTGGGATGCCTTTTTCCAGTCTTGGCTCAAGTACACATCAGCTGTAGCTGCCTTAATGCTGTGTTTACCATCAGCACCTCTTGTTTCAGAGCTGATGAGCTAATGATAGCCAATAAGTTTCTATAAATGACATTCTAATCTTAATAGTGCTATCACTGAAGAATTCATTCTGGAGTTGTCTCCCACTCCATGACCTTGTTGATTTAAGGCAGCCAACAGCCACCACCCCCTGTTCCTGCCAGCCTCCCCCTCCCAAAGCTCACTGGTACCTCAGAGAAGGCACAATTGCAAGACTCATTACCTTGTTTCTGACAAAATCCTTCTTTGCTGGGAATGTATTAGCACAAGCCATTAAGGCAGAGTCTCTCTGGCAGAAGCAGTGGGAGCAGATGGCACCTCTTCTCTCTATTAATTTCAGATTGGACATGTGCTTTGGCTTGTTAAGTCATGTCATAGTAGTAAAATAACAAGAATCATTCAAGCAAGCACGATGATACTGCATTATCTGAAGATGCAGCTCTATCTAGAGAGTGCCTTTGAAAGGGTGTTTTAATAGAAATTTGAGACTCCATAAGGTGTTCTATTAAAGCTAAATAGTGAATGTAATTAAAACAGGAAGGTGCTTTTTATCTGATTTTTTTTCCTCTGCAGTTACTGATTTTTTTTTCCCCTACTCTAAAGCGACTTCTATTTGCAGTTAACATCTTTTACCAAACTTGGTGTTTCCCTTGAGTCCCATTTTAGTCTTTTAAAGTGGATCAGCACTTTTGGCGTTATGCTGTTGTCTACCTGTTTTCAAATAAATCAATTAAAGTGCACAGCTGTTCAATTAAAGCATTAGCCACTATCCTGAGACCAGGCATTTTGCACAGGTTCTCTGCAGGAATGGAAAAAACACCTGGTGATGTGACTAATTTGGGTATGGGTGTTTTTTGGGCGGTTCTGATGTGGGTTGTTTTAAGTTTTTAGTTATTTTAGGAACAGTTTGTTTTCAAATTGTGAATGTTGAGGAGAAAGAGAAGGAGGTACAATGGGCAACTTTAGTTTGGGAATAACTAGTGCCTGATATCAGGGTGGGCAGGCTCTGGCACAGGTGCCCAGAGAAGCTGTGGCTGCCCCTGGATCCTGGCAGTGTCCCCAGCCAGGCTGGACAGGGCTGGAGCAGCCTGGGACAGGGGAAGGTGTCCCTGCCATGGCAGGGGTGGCATGGATGGGCTTTGAGGTCCCTTCCAGCTCAAACCAGTCCATGCTATTATTCTGTGATGATCATTCATATGGTTCTCATTTGATACAGTGGAAGCAGACTGATATGGAAACAGAGCAGTATTTGATGTTGCTAAAATAAACCCAAGTGTTGCATGTGTGCTGCATAATAAATCATTTCCATCTCTTTGGTTTTATAGTTCAGCTGTAACAGTGGCTGGAAGTATTGATTTCCATTCTGTGATTCTGGTTACAGGTAGCATGTATGCAGCTCATCAACGCCCTTGTTACATCTCCTGAAGATCTTGATTTCAGGATACACTTGAGAAACGAGTTTTTACGTTGTGGCCTGAAGAAAATATTGCCCGTAAGTCATTTGTGTCCAGGAGCTGATCACTGTCCTCTGTGAATGTTGAAGATAACCAAACTGTTTAACCAGGACAGCAGATGGGAAGGATTGGGGCTGCAGAGGGGCCAGATTATCAATCCAAATCTGATTTCAGCCTGCAGAGAAAATTCAGGTTTTCATGAGCTGTATAAACCAGAGAAGTAGCTGAAACAAGTCAATATATTAGAAATTAGATGAGGGTAGCCAAAGTCTGCATAATGAGCTCAAAGCACACGCAGTGAATGTGAATCTGGCTGTGGAACCAATCTTGGATTAACTTTCTTTGTATATGCTGTTCCTGTTGTTTACTGTGAAATCTGTTTTTCTTTAATCTGCCTGCTGAGAATGCATTGGGACATTTTAAGGAAAAATCAAATCAGAAATTCATTCTGCGACTGCATGTCTGTCTTCATGCAGCTGCACAGACAGGAATATTTCTGACCTGGGGAGAGATTTGTAGCTCTTAGCCAAGAAACCATTCTGATGCTTACATCAAAAATAGGTGTATTTAAGATACTCATCACTTTCTTACAAAAGATGAGAGAAATTAAGAGTACTTGCTTATATTTGTCTGAAATGGAATTTATTCTGCTATTACTTTTAAGATGTGAAATTTTAAATTGTCAATTTATCAAGAACAAAAATTTCAAATTTTGGCTCATTCAGCCTTGAGACACTCTCTGATGTGTGGTGTTACTTTTTCTTAGGGGTATTTTAGGGTTTGTATCATGTAGATATATTAATTTGATCTACTGGCTTTATTTGCTGTGGATCATCTAAAAGCCTCAAGAACTCATGTTTTTTTGGTTTTATTTTTTAATCCATTGAAATGTATTTTATAAAATCAATAAATGTTTAAACACTTTAGGAATTGGGGGTGGATTAGGTAGCAAAGAAACTGAACTGTAACAAATCATGATATGATAGAAAAGTTGGGAGAGTGTACCAACATCTGCCATAGAGATCTGAGTGGAAAAGCAATTAATATTTGGTGATAACAGTCTATTTTAAGAATGTTGAACAGCTAATGTGTTGAAAAAGAGTCAGGAGGGGGATCCAGAGCTCTGGCTCTTAATCTGTTCAGCTTCAGAGCTGCCTGCTCTGCTTTTCAAGGACTGGAATTGGCACAAGCTGCTCCTGTGCTGGGGAGCACACGTGGCTGCACCCTGACAAATCCAGCTTCCATTTCAGTCATGGAGTGCACTCCCATCAATGCATGGGAAGGAACTTTTTTCATGGGCTTTGCCTGGTAGGAAGCTGAACTTGGTTCTTCTGGGAATTAGGACAAGTCCTTGTGTTTCTTAAAAGCACGTGCTCCTCTGCTCCAAATGCTAACTTGTGTGGGTTTTTTTTCCTCCTCTGTATTTCTCCTTGTACTGTGGATGCTTTAGTGCCATGGTCTAGGCTAACTGAGGAACAGAAATTGTAAGCAAGTCTTCTTTTCACTTCTTTAAGCTTCCTAAGCTCATGTCAATTGTTGTTTTGAACTATACCTATTGTGTTTTTTTAAATGGAATTCTGACATTAAAAAGAAGGAGCTGCTATATCCCACTAAGAGAAATGGATTCAGCTGGAAGTCTGGTTTGTTCTGTAGCCCATACCTGCTCTGCGAGCTGATATTTTGCCTTAGTTTTTCTCAGTTAAATCATGATAATAAAGCCCAGGCACTGGGTTAAAACTTGTTGCTGTTCTAAAGGTTAATTTCTTACATTTCATCATGATGCAGTCCTTCAAGTGGGGGAATTCTTGCTTTAAAAAAGGAAAAATTAAGATATACTCTACCTTGAAAAACAGGCCTTGAAAGAAAAGGAAAATGACGAGCTTGATATTCAGCTGAGGGTGTTTGATGAGAACAAAGATGAAGACCACTTTGAACTGTCACATCGTCTCAATGATATCAAAGCTGAAATGGAATATCCTTTAAGGAAATGCTGTTATAACTTGTGTTGCTTCAGAACTTTATTAAATGGAAATTACAGTGCTCTATGTGCAGGTTATTTGTCTCGCTTGTGTGTCTTACCAGGGGCTTTGTCAAGCAGATTTCTCTCCAGTTGCTTTTTTTTGTTGGAAAATATTTGGATAATTAGTGCTTAAATTTGCATGTCAAATGTAAGTCATTGGAAACTGAATTAATTCTTCATAAATAACATTTATTAAGCTAAACTCTGTCTCATAATACATGAAGAGATAAAATTATACCCGTGGAAGATCATAAGTTTGAAGAAAAATGAGTTTTGATAATAAAAGGAACAAAATTTCTTGTAGGTTCTGAAGCACTACAGATGTGTGCCTTTTCTAGCAGTGAGGAGCAGGAAATTCCAGGTTACCTAAGTTCAGAAGAGCTGCTTGCAGGTTTTGGGAGGAAGCAGAGGGAGGTGGAGGAAATCAGTGGGAGGACTATAAAATCCCCTGGAATGTTGTTGTTTTGCAGAACAGGTAATTGCAAGTAGGGGTCACCTCTAGGAAATGAAAAAGATTGACCAGTGTGTGTTTGCAAACAGCCTGGCAGAGCTCAGAGTGGAAACAAAGCTTTGTGTGAAATATTGTTACAGGATTCTAAAGCACAAAGTCTATATTGTGATTGTTCTGATTGATAATGAAGCATACCCTAATTGATAAAAAGAGCACAGAAATTCCGTGCACAATCTTAGTAGAAAAATAATATTTACTGCTAAGAATAGGAGCTCACAGTGTGGAGGGTTTTACTTGGACAATATGGGAGATGTCTGGGGAGCTGTGTTGGGGTGGGGTGGCTGTTCTGTGCTGCAGTGGGGTTTTTTGGGCTTCTGTTTGTTTTAAGTTTGTAGGTTTTTTAAGTACTGTTATTTTCTTAACAATGTTTGCACTGATGTGAGCGAAGTATTTCATCTGCTGTACAATATGGTGAAAGATACTTCTTCTGAAAATTACTTCTTGTCAATTCTCCAACATTTCCTCCTGATCAGGAACGATTACTATGTCCGGTGAGTGCCAGCTGCCAGGCTGGATTTCCTGGGGGGAGTAGGGGCAAGAATAGAAATTAAGACCCTGGTAAACTGAGTAGCTTATGCCTAAAAAGTCACTCTGAGGCTGACGTTATATTTATCTTTCGCTCCATGTTAGTGCTAAAAAGATCTTAGTAAATATAATTGTGTTTATTTCAAAGACCTGTAACTTGGTCTAACACCCTCATCCCAAAAACCTCTTGACTCATTGGGCACTTTTTCTTTATTCAAGTTTGATACCTTCATTGCTTCAGAGAACATGGAAGCTGTACAGCTGATAATTGAAAATACTCCCACATGCCTTGGATCGGCTCTTTCCAGTGTAAACGTCTCTTAATGTGCAGCATGGTGTCATAGCAAGGTTGAGGCATCATATCCAAAATATTTACAAATAAGGGTTTGAACTTGATACTTCTTCTGGCAGCTGTAGAATTCAGATATTAGGGTTAGTTGTCCCACCTCCCCAGCTGCATAAAGGCATGTTCATGTTCTTAATGCCCTGTAAATGTTTCCTGTTCTAGACCTCAGTATTACAAGATCATAGAAGAATGTGTGTCACAGATAGTGCTGCACTGCAGTGGCATGGACCCAGATTTTAAATACAGAGGAAGGATGGACATCAATTTTACACATCTTGTTGGTTAGTACTGTTTAAGCAGCTTTACCTTGTTTTTCTTTGTGTTCTTCTGTCTAGCCTTACACTGACTGAGAATTTTGTCATTGTTCTGGAAATATGCGTGTAAGCTACAGGTGTGGAGTGCCAGACCAAGTGCTGTGTAGCCTTTAATGAAATGAGACAGGCTCAGAAATTAAAGTGCCTGTTGCTTTTGTGTCATGGGCTCACAGGGTAATGATGGTTGGAAGCGCCTCAGAGCTGTGATATGTTTGGCTTCACTTGTGTGTGGTATTTTTTTAAAATTCTAGATGCCTGTGTGGACAAAGCTAAAGTAGAAGAGAGTGAAAAGAAAGCAGCAGAATTTTCCAGGAAGGTAAGTCCTGCTCATGGTGTGGAACAGATTCCTGACAGGAGCACAGTCAGCTTGTTTCCCAGCTGAAACTGAGAACGAGCGGCTCTCACAATTCCACTTGTTGCTCTCTGTCCTGAAATAGTCATAATTAAATAACTTAAGTGCAGCTATGAGCTTAAAGAAATGAATGAATGTGCTATATTAGCTGCAGTAGTACTGAAGTTCATGTGTTATGGAGGTGTGTATTGAAATAATTCCAAATTTTGATATTTTTTGCTGGTCTGGTCTATTAGGCATTTTCAGGCCAAATAACAGAACATGTTCTTGAATATGATGATTGCAGATTTAATTTTTAATGAATTTAAGCTTGCTACAATAGATGTATATTCTAGTTTGGTTTGAGAAGCCTGCAGTGTTCTCTGGGAGGGAAAAACCTGTACTGAAGAGCTGGATCTGGGTGGTTCTCTGTCATTGCCTTGTTGATGGAAGAAATTGTGGCACCAAAAGCAAACATGTGAAAAAAAATCTGCTAAAAAAGTTTAAAGTGCATCAATTGCTCCAGCTCTGATATTGTTCAAAGAATTCCTGCCAATGTAGGCTCTGGTGTGGCCATAACTGCTCAAACTCACCTGTGCTGGTTAAATCCCCACAGTTTGATGAAGAGTTCACAGCTCGACAAGAGGCACAAGCAGAGCTGCAGAAACGAGAGGAGAAAATCAAAGAACTCGAGACAGAAGTCAAACAGCTCCGGACCCAGGTAATAACGAAATATCACATTAAGTTCCACAGCTGAGTTGATTTTCTTGAGAAGGAGTTGAAAAGAAATTGCCTGGGAGTAACTTGCTTGACTGGAGCTTGGAATGTCTGCTATAGGTGTATTGATTGGGTTTGCAGCCAGCATAAGTTACTATGGGTAGCTAATGGAGGTACATTTTACAAATAGTAATATTTTCAACCTGCTTTTTTTCAACCTGATTTATTTTCAACCTGATTTTTTTCCCCACAGATATTTGTTCATGCTTTCACATTGTTGCTTCTGTATGTTTTGCAGAAAGTTTTTGTTTTGGAAGTGTTTTATTTTTAAAGGCTTTTGGTTTTAAATATATTTTTTACTCTTACACTTTATATAAGCCTTTTTTATTTTTTAATACCATCTTTAGGTTTTAGACAGGTCATTTATACCTTTTAGGAACTAACAGATATTATGATTTAGTGCTTTTACCTCAGTCTGGTTTATTTTGTACTCCTTCAATGCTAGGCAAGGTCTGCCTGTTGCCTTTTTGTCTTTTTTTTTTTGTTTTTTTTGCTGTCTTAAAGCCTGTGATCTCACTTCCTATTTGGACATGAAGGTGGAGACACAGACACTTCTGTTCTTACTTCCTTCTTGCCAATTTTCATGTTTGTTACAAATTCCTACAAGCCAGTGTTACACTGAAATGTGACAGTCTGTTTTAATGAGTTCCCAGCAATTGTTGCATTATTACTTTTGAGCCAAAGAAGCACATTGTGCCCTGTGCAAGTAAAAAATGTACTTTTAGTCCAATTAATTGTTAATCCTGTTTTATTGATTCTAACACAGTTCAGATTATCCAGACATGACAGGGCATTCACAGTAATGCTGACCACTGGTTAATTAACCATGTAATTCTGGTATCTGTTCCCTTTTCTGGAGTTATGCTCCCCACAGAATATGATGACACTTATTTTTAGCTGCACTCACCCCTCTGATGGTTTAACACGCTGCTGTTTCTCTTCCTTATTACTTAAATTAGTAAGAACTTATTAGAATTGATATTGGAGAATGGATTTCTCTTTACTCTTCCTCTCACCAAAGAAGCACCCTCAGACAGATTCAAAAGACAGCAGAACAGGTTGTTGCACACCCTTCACCCCTCCAGATGTCAGAGTAGCTCTGAACTGGTCCTGTGACCTCTTACACTGCAATAGCTGCTCCACTGATTGCTGGGGAAAATTTTCCAGCAGCAGATGAGTGTTGTTAAAATTCAGCATGGTTATTCTCATCTCTGATACCCCAGCTTGCCAGGGTATCCTAAGTGGGATAAATGTTTTGTGCATTGGTGAGAAATAAAATGCTGTTCTGTTCACTTAAATGTTACTGCTACTATTAAATTTTCTTTAAAATTGAAACAATTTGTTTTTATAAAAATGCTAGGTTATTCAGTTTAGTTGGCAGCTTTATGGTACGTGGTATAATCTATTGTTATTGTTTCTCATTTAAATAGGGGAACAGTTGCATTTCTCACTTTTCTGAGATGCAATTGGGTAAAACCATCCTGCTTGGTTCAGCTTCGTGTCAAACTGCCTCCTGTCACTGATGAAAGGAATTCCTCTGTTGTGTTCCAGGGTCCAGTTCTGACAGAAGTCCCAGGAATACCTTCAGCCCTCCCAAGTGAGAACGTCCCACCATCTCCAGCGCCTTCACTCCCTGGTGGAGCCATCCCTCCTCCTCCTCCTCTCCCTGGTGCAGCCACAATTCCTCCTCCTCCTCCGTTACCTGGTGCAGCAACAATTCCTCCACCCCCTCCCCTGCCAGGTGGAGCAACAATTCCTCCACCACCTCCCCTTCCTGGAGGAGCAGGAATTCCTCCACCACCTCCCCTGCCGGGAGGAGCAGCAATCCCTCCCCCACCTCCATTACCTGGTGCATCCTTTCCCCCAGCGCCCCCTCCTCTGCCAGGAGGAGCCATCCCACCGCCCCCTCCTCTGCCCGGCGTGCCCCCACCTCCCCCTCTGCCCGGGGCAGCAGGGCCCCCTCCTCCTCCTCCTCTGCCTGGAGGAGCAGGGCCTCCTCCTCCTCCTCCTCTGCCCGGGGGAGCAGTCCCTCCCCCGCCGCCTTTCGGGGGTCCCCCCATGCCACCCCCTCTGGGAGGGGCTCTCTTTGCTCCCTTCCCCGCGGTGCCAGCGTTGCCACACGGGATGAAGGAGAAGAAGAAGTACAAGCTGGAGGTCTCCATGAAGAGAATCAACTGGTCAAAGGTATGGCAGCAGGGTGGGGGTGGTGTTCCTTCCCCCCCTGCGCTGCACACGGGGCTCGGTACCGTGTGTGATGGGTTTGTAAATGAGATTCACCTTGGCAGAGCTCCTTGTTGTACCAGGTGTCCCAGAAGCCAGCTTACTTCCAGGTGCAGTGAACATCAAGAGCAGCTTTGCATCCAGTTGTACCTAAATATGCATTTATCTCCAAACTGTTCTAAAGCAGCTTTCACCCATACCTAGCAAAGCAAACCGACTTCAGCTTTTTCAGTTCGTGGCGTTTAATGTTGCTGTGAGTTCAGACATTACTGATAGCAAGCTTTAATGTTACTTGTTGATTATTTATCCCAAATATTTATTGGTTGTTCTCAGTGATGTGCTGGAGCAGGGCCGTGGCCACTGGGAGGAGCCATGGGACTGCTCAAGGGAAAGGTTTGGGCATCATGAGCTTCCAGTGTCTTAGCTGGATTGTATTTAATCACATTTAATTTTTAAAACCATCTTAAAATCTAAGCATTACTTGAGCAGTAAAGTGCAAGCACAATCTGATTTGCAAGTGAACCTTTAAAGCAATTCCCAATTACTCCTGGCTTCTCAGTGTATCCCGTCCCTCTAACAGGAGAATTTACACAAACATCCAGGTGTGTGCTGGGCTGTGTTGTTTTAAAAGCCTTTTTGAATCAGTGTGGTGACTGCTCCTTCCATATAAGAAAATTCATGTGGAGTATTAGATACTTGCAGCTGTTATCAAGACTAAATCATTGAATTCTAAAATTGTGGTTGGCAGTTTTTTACTGGTATAAAAGAAGATAGATATGTTGTTGTTTGGTGTAGGAAAAAGTACCAAAATCACCAAATCATCAACTCTATATAAAATACTTTTATATGTTCCATGCTGTGTGGTTTCTCTAAATTCTGAGTAGTCAAAAAGTAGTTTTGAGGTAACAAAACAGCAGAATAATCCACCAGTGTTGGAGGAGGAATACAGAATGTTGAGAGTGAGCCTGTGTGGAAATGCATGGCATGCCAATTTATAGTTTCTTTTGGCAGAAGAATTAATGCTTCAATGATTTCAAAATATTTGGAGATGTGCTCAAACAATCTGAAAGTGTATCTGAGGGCTGTAGTTTAAAAACAGGCTTTCAATATATTTAACTAGAACGATACAAAACAGCCTGCCATGTTTTTAGAATATTAATTTAAATACATTTTAAAATCAGTTTGAAAATCTTTACTTTTTTTGTAATTCTTATAAAATAATCTACATAAATGGATAAGTGATAACTTTCCTTCTTCGTTGTGGGAGGAGGAATTAAGTGTCTTGGGGAGAAAGGACAGGATCAGGATGCATTGCAGGGGTTTTGTAGCTGTGGGACATAGACTGCTGTCCTGGAAGCATGGAGAGAAGCAAGCTTTTATTTTATAATACATGTTGGTAATTGCAGCCAATTTCATTGTGATCAGTTCCACTGGGGAGTTTGTAGGAATAATTTCTGAAGTGTCTCTGTGAACACTGGCTGTGACAATGGGAAGGAGCTGCAGATGGACGCTTTGCTTAAGTGCTCTGGGAACAGTGCCAGAGATCTCCTGCCTACTGAGAAAGTGGAAAGTCTGTTTGATCATCACTTTTAAGGAGCCATCATTTGAGAAATAAAATTCTTACTGTTTAATTTAGTCCCTTTTGCTGTAACTGTCTTCCCCATTAGTGTTGGATTAAGGTAGTTTTTTAAAATGTCTTCCCTGGAGCTGCTGGTAAAGCAGGGCTGAAAGGTGGAGGACCAGGGTGTTGCAGGGAAATTGGAGTGAGGCTGACAAATGTGGTATTGCTAAATTCCCTGAGTATCATCTTAAAGTTAAATAGCCCTTGGAAATTATCTGGCATTTCAACAAACTTATAAACAATAAATAATAATGTGTTCAGAGCTGTTAGAGGAACATATTTTGAAAGCAGTACAGCAGTTCTGAGTCATACACGAAGAGTCAAGTTGTCTTTCAGTTTCTATATTGCAGAGCATTTTCTTCCTTTAGTGCAGCCAGTAGAGAGCTCATCCTGAGTCTCTGCAGGGTCCCCGTGGCCAGTTCATTGCCTGGTAAGTTGTTCCACCCAGTTCCCAGGTAGCAGGGAAAAGAAGTGCTGAAGAGTTGGGGAACTCTCTAGAAAGTAATCAAGAGAGAGCTAGAACACTTTGAAAGGCAGCTGCTGCTGTTAGTTCTGTTTGGAGAACTTGCTGAGAGTGGGAGCAGTGCAATAAAGGCCATTTGTGGCCACAGGGCAGCTCAGCTCACCGTGCTTGTGCAGGAGCAGCAGGGAGAGAACGTCCCAGAGCAGGGCTGAACTTACCAGCCCAACTCTCACAGAGCTTCTGCAGCATTTATTTTAACTTGGCTCTTGAAAACACTTCTAATTGACTCTGGAGATGCTGTTTTTTCTTTCAGATCGAGCCTCAAGAAATAGGAGAAAACAGCTTTTGGGTAAAAGCTGAAGAAGATAAATTTGAAGACCCAGAGCTGTTTGCAAAATTGGCACTTACCTTTGGAACCCAAATGAAAGGTACATTCCTACTTTGCTCTTTATTGTGCCTTTATTAAGTTTAAAACTGTGTAATGGCAGTTTCTTTTATGCTTTGTGCAATACCATGGAATTCATTTGATGGTTTTATAGCAGGAAGATGATTTAAAACATATATTAAGCATAACAGTCTATTACAAGAATTGCTCCCCCTTCACTTTACAGCATGAGGGGAGGAACCTTTTTGCAATAATACCTTTTAAAAGTTCACTGTATGTTGCAGACTAATGTGAGTTTTCTTTTAATGAAATTATAATTAAATTTACATTCTGATCCTAAACTCATGTTTATTTGCATTATTATTCCTAGCTGAGAATTTCTGGGATAAGAACAGCAATTTTTACTAACACAGTGTTAAAAAATATTAACTCAGGAAGGGCTCTCAGAGGACTGTAATGAACTATTTCTTGAGTAGATTCCTTGAATTATTTCTGAGGTTTTTTTCTGTGTCCTCTTGAAACCTCTTCAAAGAGTTGGTCATGGCTGTGTTTTTCATAAGATAGATTCATATTCCTTTCAGTAGTCAGTGAATTTAAACCATTAGAATTCTCCTTTTGCAGCATACATTGGAACCACTTTCTGGTCTAAATGTTCAGCTATTCCATGCAGTAATTTAAAAGCATCCTGTGCAGTAATTTAACGTTTTTTTCCATGCCCAAGTTGGATTGACTCTTGGTTCTTAGCACTGCAGGGAGGTTAAAATGATGTGGAGTTGGTCACTTGCTTTGGTGTGACAGGAAGACCTTTAAGGGAAGGAATGCCCAGCAGCAGATGACAGAATGGCATGAGCCCCTTCTTAATGAAAAGGACAAACTTCTGCCTTGAGCTGAGTTCTTTCACTAGAAATCTCAAGAAATGTTTCAGAATTCCTGAAAAGCTTCTTCGTTAAAAATGCTGAAAAAAACCCTCTTGAAATATTGACATAGCTGACAGTTTCCAATGAGAAGAAATTCTTGTTGACATAGTTGCACAGTTGTAAAACTAGGAACAACAGAAACTCCTCAAATAGCTTTGTGTACTGATAGCCTTGCAGATATTTTTCCTTGTTTGGTTCTCAGTTAATGGTTGTAGAAGATAAGATGCCATAGCAAAGGATGCACATTAAAAATGCTGCTGCACAATACCCGGGATATGAAAATCTTACTTGGCTGACTCCTGCAGAAAGGCAGAGTTGTCTGTCTGAGTTCAAAGGTTTTTCAAACTTGGGAACCTACTGGAAGTCAAAAAGACTCTTGGAGCCTTTAGTTGCAGCACAGACCCAAAGAACTGCATGCCAGAAGCAATTTTTTTCCTGCAGCTGCCATCTGCAAAGGGAAACAGAACGATGTTCACTGTTCTTCCTCCCTTTTTACCTTAAACAGCTCCATAATGTCCCAAATGCTTATTTCAGGCATCATCTGCAACCAGATTTCCCTCTTGCTTTAGTCCCATTTCATGAGGTGGTCTCCAGGTACATTCCAGCAGAGTGATAAAAAGCCAAATAGAAATGCATGTGATATTCTCTGAGGAGCACAGTCAGCATGCAAAACAAACAAAGGGATGAGTGGAAGCAACTGACAATTGCCAAAAGCAGTTTGGATGACTTAGTGTTTACTGTCTTGTATTCTGTGGGATTTTGGAATGCCAGTGGAAATGGTAACTGAAGTAAAAGAAATGGTGGTGTGCACATTTATTAAAAAATTCTGATTTGTAAGTTGCAGCACTGAAATTTGATTAAACCTCTGAATGCTATTCATGATTCTTTGGTACAATGCTAAAAACACTTGGGGAATTTTTCTCATGTAACATAATTTTGGTTTAGGATACTCCAAAAATGACTTAATGTTGGCTATCTCTAAGCTGTCAGCTGCCTTGCTGTTTGAGTGCTGGCTGCTTTAGGGGAATGCAGGCAGAGCTGAAGGGGTCTGGTGCTTCTGGGGAGAAATATTGTTGTGAAGTTGAACAATAATTTTTGCCTATTACATTATATAATTAATCCAGTGTAGTTACACATCTCAGGAAACCTGGGCTACTGCTTTTTGATGGAGTTGGAGGTGTGTATGAGTTAATTCTGTAGAATATGCTAAAATCCCCAACAACTGAAATTAACAGTTTAAAACACTAGTGTTCTTGTCAAGAACCTACTTAAATCTTTTAAATCATTTGAGCAGGTCATTTTATGGCAAGCACTCTGTTACCAAACTTTGATTTGGTCTCTTAGCTGATATGAAATTTTCTCTCTGGCCACCAGCAGAAGGGAGAGCACCAGCAGCACTGTCATGTCTTCAGTGCTTGCTGGAATACGATGTCAGAAACTCCTATTTAACTGATGGGATGTTCAATCCATGTGGAGTTGAATGCTGCAGTGTCTCCTGCCAGGTGCAGGCTGCAGTGCTGGGACTCTGCAGCCAGGCTGTGACACATCCACACCAGGACTGTGACAATACTCAGTGCTGGGCCTGCTGCTATCCAAATCATTTCTCTCTGCTTGATTGATGGTCTAATTGTAAAACACTGCAAAGCAAGTTAATGCCTTCTCCCTAAAGGATCATGTTAATTTCTGCCTCTTGTAATTTAGGTTGTGTATTTTGCCAGTCAAGAATGATAGTAGTGCTCTGAAGAAATTAATTATGTGTACAGTAGGTCTGTAAAGGTAGTAATTAGTACATAATAGTCTGTAACTACTGGGATTGTTCCAATACAGAATTCATTATCCATCCAACTTGCCTCAAGGGAAAACTTCTCCATCAGGGTTCTGTTGCTTTACAATTAGACTTTTAAAATACAACTCAACAATCATTTTCATATGTTTTCAAAACTAAAGTAAGGTCTTAATAGCTGAGTTGTGTTTTTCACATGATGGGAATTTGAGTGGGAAGGGACAAGAGAAAAGAAAAACTTGTATGTAAGCTGTAATTGAATAAGACATGAACAAAGTGTTCAGGTTTTGATTTTATATGTATAATGCATATGATATGTACATAAATAATGTGTATAATGTATATAAAGAATATGATAGGTCAGTGCACCATTAAACTTGAAAGAAAAATCTTTGCATTAATTTGCATTTGGGACTTGTAAATACAAGGAGCAGTAATTAGTACTTTTAGAAAATGGCTTTGAGTTTGCTGTGCTGAGAAGCTCAGATCTAATTCATCAGAGAAGTTCAACATTTGCAAGCTTTCAGTGGATCCAGCTGTGGGCAGGTTTCCTCAGACAGCTGTAGGTGTGAGGCAGCAGGACCCAGCTGAGTGCAGGAATCTGCTGTTCAGCACGGCTGTGTTGCACTAGCTCAGCTACCTACGCTGCTTTGGCAACACAAAAAGGAGGAAAAACCTCTGAACTCCCCATGAATTTGCTTCAGGATTGCAAACTGCAGGTGGCTCCCTCGGTCTGCTGCTGATTCAGGCTGAGCTTGTTCCCTTCCCTCCTCAGCCCTCCTTGCGAAGGATGGGAATGCAGAGCAGAGCAGAGCAGTGTGGGGTCACGGGGCTGTGTGCCAGGGCAATTCCATTGCCTGGGCTTGCACACCAGGTCATCACTCTCCAGATCTGTTTCACACAGAAGTGCAGCAAATTGCTTTGTTTTCATCTCTGGATCTATTTGAAATTGTTGTTTTTCAGCACAAGAATAAACTACCATAAAGAAGGAGTGAGTTATTAGTTTACTAGTTTTCACTTTCCTTCTCCACTGGATTTACCCAGCAGGTAAACTCTCAAACTCAAGGGTGAAAAAAGCTTTGCATGGTTTAAACAAACTGCTGCCTGAAATTATTAACATCTAGCATAGATTTATGTATGTATATCTCTGTATTTTGATATATTTTATATACATTTTTGTAATTCTTAAATGATTAGAGTTGTTTTACAGTCCAAGTCTTATTTCCAGAGCACCAGGACCCATCACTGGACAGCAGGACTGACACGAGTATAGTGTTCAGAATGGTGTAAAAGAAAGCAAAACTTCCAATTAGGAGAAAAAGATTGTAAATAGTTCTTAATCTTTTATTTCAAATAGCATTTTAATGCACTCGCCTTTCAATAACTTAATTTCTATGTCAAAGACAGTTTGTAATATGAGTCACTAAGAAAACATAATTTATTTTGAAAAAACATACTATGTAAAATACATGGCCTGTTGGTGTGACCTACTAACTGTAGTTTTTATCATGTGACAGTGAATGAAGAATATCCCAGATTAAAAACTAAAATATATTTAGACTTTTTCAGAAGTTAGTCTCAGTGTCAGTTGTGATATTTTTGTTTATTGTCTTCTTTTCCTGTAAAATCTTACATAAATAACCCTTTCAGAACGCTCGTGCTTTAGGGTTGGGCAGAGGCAGGAATTTCACTGCAGGTCTCAGTGTGGCACACTATGATTGTGTCTCTCAGGACTCTGCTTTTCAAACTTTGTGGTAGATTCCTAAGGGGGGGAAATCAAGAGGGATGGCTCAGACGGATGCAATTTTCCTATCTCCATTTGTCGTTCCTGGAGCTTGCTTGCTTTACATCTGCAGCAGAGTTGGAGTTTTTTCAGAGCATTGTTTTTCCATAAAAGTGTTCTGAGAGAGAAGTTTGGACATTCTTAATCAGCATTACAGAAAGAACTGCAATAATTGCACCTTCAGAAGAACAAATACAAACAGCCTGTGTGTGAATTAAATTGTATTCGGATGAAGAGACAGGTGGGAAATAGTTGGAGGTTTGGGCTGTTTGAAGGCTGCTCTCATTATTCATGGATTGCTTGGAGGTACAGCATAATGTATTCCCCACAATTCCTGGAGAAAGAGTTCATTTCAGAATCAGCATTCTGTCTGTTCTGAATCCAGGTCAGATGCTCTAATGTGGGGGCCATTCCTTCAGTTTTACTCTAATTGGCAGTGCTTAACCCTTTTGGAGCATCACTGGGACAGGTGAGAGCTCCCCACTGGAGACTTGAGGAGCAAGGATGTGAAATGAGGAATCCTGCTGGTTCCTGAGTGACTGCAGGAGTTCTGCAGGTAC